TCGCCGGCGGTGTTGAAATTCCCGGCCGGCGGTCCGAAGGAGACATTCGACGGGAATTCGCGGCTGAGGGAGAGGATTTTTCATTTTAGCAGAGAAGCGATTTCGAGGCTGAAACTCAGAGCTAACGGAGGGAATATGAGTAACGGAAATTGCGACGCCGTTGAGACTCTCGGCAAGCAATTGAATGACGGTTGGAAAATCGTTAACGGAAAACAGAACGACGACGTTTCCGGTGGGAAATTGAAAATATCCTCTTTCCAATCTCTCAGTGCTCAGTTATGGCGTTCGGTGACTAGAGCGAGGAAACTAAACGCAGCGAAAACGACGACGTTTCGAATGGCCGTGAACTGCCGCCATCGTCTCCAGCCGCCGATGTCGTCGCTTTACTTTGGAAACGCAATACAGAGCATCCCAACCGTCGCTTTGGTCGGCGAGCTTCTGTCTGAAGACTTGGGTTGGTGCAGCGCTTTGCTCCACCGTAACGTGGCGGCTCACGACGACGCAACCGTGCGTCGTGGCATCGCCGATTGGGAGAGGAGCCCACGGTTGTTTCCGCTCGGGAACTCCGATGGTGCATCGGTGACAATGGGAAGCTCGCCGAGATTCCCAATGTACAACAACGATTTTGGATGGGGCCGTCCGGTGGCCATACGAAGTGGTGGTGCGAACAAGTTCGACGGTAAGATCTCAGCATTTCCTGGTCGGGAAGGGAATGGAAGTGTGGATTTAGAGGTGGTTTTGGCGCCGGAAACGATGGCGGGTCTTGAAACTGACCCGGAGTTTATGCAATATGTATCAGTTTCGATGTGAAAAGTTAGAATTGAAAGCTCTTGTTGCTCCCAAATCCATACCTATGGGAGTAGAAATATTTTTGAGATAGCATTAGTAGAGCATTATTACTCAAATAATTGTTCGAGAATCAGAGTGTAGAACCAAGTTAAACACGAATTACTTTATCTTAACAATAAAAGCAAGACTCGACGACTCGACGACCCTTGTTGATGTCATCGTTTCCCTCTTTCTTGTCAAACCTTCTTCATCACTATTACAACGTTGCTATTAATTGGGAAGGACTTCTCCCTACGTCACAACATTGCTATTAATTCAGGAAGGGATGATTTGATATAAACTAAAATACCTTGATCTCGATTATATAATATGAACGGTAAAAAAATGTGTTCAAGTTACTTCAAGATCATTAACACGTTTTAAAACTATGAGACTGACGGCAATACGTAACGTGCGAAAGCAGATGAATAATACTTCCTACCATATGCATTTTAAAATCGTTCACCTCTAACAGACATATTTTAAAGTCGTGAAGCTTACGACTATACATAATGATTCAAAGCTGACAATGTCGGTTGACATGATTGGACATCATTAAATCCAACCGTCTAAAAATTTTATATCATGCTCGCTCGTTCTAGGATTTAAAGTAAAAGGGAGTATCTCTTCAAAAACTTCTCTTTTATAATAGATTTTAGGTCGCAAACACCGAGTTGAATTATGTCCGTACTTCCTTCTCACATTGTCACTATGGTGTACGAAAAAATGGGTTTAAGCAGCAAAAATTTCTTCCTTCGAGTCGCTTCAACTTACCAAACAAAAAAAAAACATTTTGAAAAACCGAAGTAAAGAGGGACAGAATAATACGCTTTCATGTCACTGTAAATTTCATTTAGACAAAGTTAAAAACTAATTTAAGTGTTTTTTTAATAAAATTATAGAATTAAACATCAAATTGATTTGTAATCGAACTTTTATTTAAAAGTACTATCAAGTAAATCAATAATTGTCTTTTTCATTGTTAGAATAGTACGTAAACAGAATCTTGTTTTCAAGAAGTTCAATCATGTAAGTATGACTCAATAAAGCTCTAAACAAAATAAAAAATAACCATGTTTATTGGGAAGAACTTTGCTTCTCCTGTGCTCTACCGTCCAAAATTTTCTAAATATCCACGAATATAATGTATATATGATTTTTTTAAAAACGTTCATTAATGTTGTAGCATGCCCGATGTTCCCCGACCCCTACCTATGTACTAATTGTACCACTATTGCAATGTCAAATTTGAATACCTTTTTATTTTTAAATAGTTTATAGGAATTGCCAAAAATGAACAGTGTTGTTTTTTTTAAAAAAATAATAATAATAATAATACTTATTTTAATTTTTTTGGTAGCCAAGCTAGGCCGGTGGCCGGTGGCCGGTGGGAGGCACCCTTCTGCAATTTATGATGCAAATTTTACTTTTTCCTCCCTCTCTTTTCAAAATGACTCAATTGCCTTTGAATTTATGCATTCGTGGCTCGGCTCGACGTGAGAGTGAATCTAATCGGTTAAAACGTACAAGGAAAAAGGAAAATTGAAGCTAAACCATCTAAAATGAAAAATTGCTCTATGGTTCGATTTGGCCCGTCAAATGTATACCTGAGATTAAGTTGTTTTTTAAAATAAATAAATAATACTTATTTTTCATAAAATTTAAATATTAAATATGTTCGAGTCATAATGTATTAATAACATGGGACGTTACATATTCTTAATAATAATTAGATAAGGATTTTTCAAATTGACTAATTTGATCCAAATTTGACTTTACAAATTTAACCCAGTTTGAAAGAGTAAAAAAATTGTGATTATAAATAACTATTAAAAAATATTTGACTTTTAAATATATATAATATTTTTTGGGACATTAGTTTGAGTCTTTAAATAAATAATTAATTAAATAAATAACCATTGTATCCCATGAGTTCTACTGTGGCGGCCACTGATGGCCTCAATAATTCACGTTTTAAATGCTTTTTTAGTGTATTATTTCTGTTGTCAAATACCAATATCACCATTTCAACCAATTTTACTGTGCTTTCCTATTTTCGTTCCAATCTTTGTATTAGTGGTGATTTGGTTGCTGGGATCTATAGGTTTGATGTTCCGGCATCAAATTGTAGGTGTCATCTCCTCTTCATTGGTGTGTCCCAAAGTATTTTGAGTGACCGTAGTCTATTGATTCTTAGAGAACGAGGGCGGGGCGGGGCATGCGGCTGGAGCACACGGGCCGAGTGAGCGCGCGCGGGGGAGAACGTGGGCGGGGGCGGGGCGCGCGCTGGAGCACGTGGGCTGGGCAGGCGCGGATCAAATTATCGTAAAAGAAAATTACAAATTTTTTTTTGTTTTAAATATTTATTTCAAAATAAAAATTTTAATAAATAATTCTCATATTTTCAATATAATTTTAATTTTAAAAAAAAATATATAAAACATCTACATAAATACAATATTGGAGGCCCATTCCCAGTAATAGGCCCATTTTCTAATGACAATCCATCATGGGCTCGAAATTGGAGGCCCATCAGAGGCCACGATGGGTATTGATGAACAAATTTTTTTTTTTAATTGTGGGATTAAAAAATAAATAAATAAACCCACCTGCTTATAATTTATTTTTACAATTAAAAAAATTAATTTTTATTTGTTTTTTAAAGGAAAAAAAAAAACAAAATTAAGGTCTCTTATTCTCTACAAACTCTCTCTCTCCTTTGACCCATGAGAAATTCAACCAACAACTTAATCTCTCTCCTCTTTGACCTTGAAATTTGACTTTGTTTCTCTTTCTAAATTTGCACCCTCCTCTATTTTTATTTTTAAAATAATTTTATATCTTGAAACAATAGAACATCGACAATTAAATAATTTAATAGAATAATTATTTTGTTTATATTAAGAGATTTAAGAAAATTCTCTTTAAACCAGAAATTAACCATTGAAATGAAAATTTTTAAGTAAAAAACTAAGTATTGAATAAAAAAATAATAATAAATAGATTTTAATTAAAATTAACGAATAATTTTGCACGGGGCCAGAGACGAAGAGGAAGGCATCTTGTCTCTATCTCATCTCATGAACATCTCTATGAGTTTTTTGCCCACAAAGACAATTATCCACAAAACATCTTACCCTGAATCTCTAATTCACATGTGTTTTTAAAAAATCGAAAATTTAAAAAAAATAAAAAAGGAAGGTTGATATTGGTTACCTACTTTATCTTTATTTTATTTTTTCTTTTTTTTAAATAAACTTGATATTTATTATTGTCGGGCCATATATAAATAAAATTAATTAACAATTATAGACACGTGGGGACGGTCAAATTTACTCTCACTAGCCACTTGAAAATAGGTACAGAGCTATAAAAATATAGTAAAATAATGTTGGAGCGAGATTTCAAACTTTTAATTTTAACTAATTTTTTTTTGTATTTTAAATATTGTGTTATACTCACACGAAATTGAGTAAAAATATTTCATAATAATTTTTAACCCGTAAAATAAATTTTAATTAATTTCAAGAGTGTTAAAAAAAATTGATGATTCACGAGTTCCTCTGTCACACAAATGAGTCGATTTGAGTTCAAATAAATGAAAATTTCGGTACATTGTGTTCTTTTGTGGGTTTTTCTAACTAAATTGATTAAACCGATATAATTAAATATACATGTAATTATTTTATTTTTTTCTAATTTCATAATTTTTTTTTTGTTATTTATTGTTCAACTATTATTAAAAATAAATTTTAATAATATATTTCGGATTGATTAAAAAAATTAACTTTTAACTTAAAATATATTTCGAAAATGAATTAGAAATCTTAATTAAATGTTTAAAATAATTAAAAATAACAAATTAAATAAATAATTGGGATTGATTAAAAAAATTTAATACACGAACAATTAAATTGAATCTAAAAATGTCGACTCAAAACAAACACATGAACGCCCTTAATTAATTTAATTTAATTTGACTAGATCTAAAAACAAGAAATTAAATCTAAAAAAATTAAAAAAAAAACAATAAATAAACGAGGGAGAGATGTTGGTGAGAGACAGCTAGGGGTTTCTTTTTTACTAAATCCTTAATTTTTAATTTCATTTTCTTTCTCGCTCTACAAATACCCAAACAAATCCAATTGAATCCCAAAAAAAAGAAAAAAAAAATGTCAACAAAATTAAGCTCCAGCAGAAGAGTGAGTTTCAGCTCAGATCAGGGCGCCGCCGCCGCCACCTCCGCCGCCAAGCCCGCAGCTTTCCCAAGAAACAGGAAGAGACTGATTACCGTGTTCTGGGTTTTCCGGCTGCCAAAATCCGGCAGATTGTTCCCGGGAAGTTTCCTCCGCCGCATCGGAGCGAAAGTGGTGAAAGTTCTACGATACGTGTCTTTGAGGAAGAGATCGGCGTCACCGGCGTCGTCGTCGTCGTTGAAAAGCGGGTCTAATTTCAACAGATCCCATTCGGTTTCGGAGTCGATGGAAGAATCTCACAGAGCTGAAGCTGTAAAAGATTGCATCAATTTCTTTAACTCTTCCTCTTCTTCAGCTATTTGATTTTTTTTATCTCTTTTTATCTCTCTCTGCATTTACCAGTGATGCTCTGTAACTTTTTAAGGTAATTTCTTGGTTTTTACCTTTTCTTTTAAGTCTCCGTAATAATGATTTAATTTTTTAATTTTTTAATTTTGGAATTTATTATGTTTCTTCCTCATTTTTTAATATAATTTTTATATTTGTAAAAGATTGAATTTTTAGTCCAATTCCAAAACAAAAATTTTTAATTTTAAAAATTATTGTTTATAATTTTTAAAAACTTAAATTAGTATTCAAAAAAATCAATAGAAATTTATAGACAGAAATAACGATTATAAACATAATTTTCAAAAATAAATTGGTTATCAAACATTACGTTACTTTAATCATCCGTTTTTTTCGTGTAAAATAGTTAAATTAAGTATAATAGTAATTCTTGAACGTTTTAAATTGTGTTTATTTAACCTTTAGATGTACAAATAAAATTGAATAAAGTTTTTAATCTTTAAAATTCAAATTATGATTATTATTATTTATAATAATTGATAGAAACATTGAAAAATTTATAGAAAGCTTATTATAAATTTTCTAATTTGTGGACTAAATAAATATGATATTCAAAGTTTAGGATCAATTTTTTAAAAATAAAACAGTTTTATTTATTAAAAAACGATTAATAAATATACAATTTCATCAGCCAGATTGCTTAATCCTTAAATTTTGGTGTATGATAGAGTTTAATTGTTTTTTAATTATCTGAAAAAAAAATCATTTCAAATATTATTATTTATATTATTTATTAGTTATTATTAATATAATACTTGAAATATTGCACCTTACTCGCATTTTGAACGAAATAATAATAATAATAATAAAATGTAATATTTTATGGACTAAACTAATTTAAAAAAAACATCTATCTTCAAATTTTTATAAATTTTTACTAAATTTTTAATAATACTTTTCTATTTTAAAAAAATTAAAAAAAATATTGCACCTTACTCGCATTTTGAACGAAATAATAATAATAATAATAAAATGTAATATTTTATGGACTAAATTAATTAAAAAAAAAACATCTATCTTCAAATTTTTATAAATTTTTACTAAATTTTTAATAATACTTTTCTATTTTAAAAAAATTAAAAAAAAAATACTCTCCACTATTTTTTTTTTTAAAAAAATACTCTTATTAGGTTTAAAACTACCCCTAAGATTTTAAAACTAACTTTTAACACTATTTACCTTTTGTAAAAAATTAAAAAAAAAATTAAAAATTCTTACCGTGAAAATCACATACCGACATTTTATAGATTATCTTTGAACTTTTTAAAAATTTCGTGAATATTTTTGAAACTAAGTAGGAAAAAATGTGAGTTATTAAAATTTTTAAAAGTTTTGAGAATAAAGTTCTGCCTTATTTATTTTATTTTATTTTATTAATTTAGCAAATTTTTATAGAATGAATTTATTTTTCAAATGGTGGGAAAAAGAATAAATAAATAAGTAAATTATAATAGCTTTAAAGCTTGATTTAATTATTTCATCATCATGAACTTCTAGCAGTTGAAAACTTCAAATGATTGAACTCCATAATTATATCATTTGTTTATAATAATATATTATATTTAATTTTTTATTTAAATAATTAGAGTACACCAAAAAGTGTATAAAACAAGTTGTTACTATAATTCTAGGTTGTCCCAATCTAATTAAGCTACACCTCCATCAAACAAAACAGCTTCATCCTAGATTAACACCTTATCTTATGATATATGTAATTATATGTTTTTTTTCTAATGGCGTGAATTTTAATATTTATTCACTAATTTACTCTCCAATTTTAACAAAAGGAGAAGAAAAATGTAATGGTTCAAGTCCACTGTTAATAGATATTGGCTTGTCTTATTTATGCTCAAGTCGCTCAAGTCTACCGCTAGCGTCTCACAAAAAATATTTATAAAGTCACTAATTTTAATAAATTCAAATTTGGCATAAATTTAATCAAATTAGATTAGAAGACACCATAGTTTTTTTTTTTTTAATTTTGTGAGGGGAATACCTTTATTATTAAATTTCAAAAATAATATGAGAGAAAATTGTAACATTTTTTAAAAATATTTATTTAAAAAATAAATAAAATTGGATGAAAAGGGTAAAAATAAAATATTGATTTGAATGGTCTGAAATTGTTGACAAATTTGGAGAGCAATAATTGTGCATATATATTAATAACAATGATGGTGACAATTGTAACCAATAAAAATTAAATGGACCAAGCAGCATTAAATGAATATTATTAACAATAATTATAAAAGAAATCCTCAAAAATTAAAAGAAAATGACATAAAATTATATGGAAATTAGAGGCCCATCGTAGGCTGAGCTGGAGCTTCCTTCAGGCTGACTGATACTTCTCCGTCAGCAATTAAGGGTCATTGAATTTGAAGTGTCAAAATCACAGCCATTCATGTCTCCATCCCCTTAATAAATGACATTTCACCAAATTAATTGCTAATTTTATTTCTTTCTAGATTTTACTTTAAAATAAACCTAAAAATGTAGGAACCAAAATCATAATTAAATTTACTATTTTTTATTTATTTATTTATTTATTTATTATTATTATTTTCAAGAGAATAAAATAATTGTCTTATACCTAAATCTTTTTTTCTCACCAATATGAACTAAAATGAATTAAAAAGAAGCATTAAAAAAATTGCCTCTTTTGCTTTTGTATTCAAAGATATGTTCAAAAGGGAGGCATCATTACTTTTTCAAAAGCCCTTCAAAAGTAGAATATTTCCATTTTCACCTAAAGGAGGGACCTCCTTGCAAAACAAGACGAGGATGGTTGTTAAAATAGTTAAAATCATTCGGCATATCTTTAATCATTCAAAATTAATTTAACATTTAGTCTTACATGCAGTAAAAAAAAGTGAATAATCATTCACCAGTATGTCTTTAATCATTCAAAATTAATTTAACATTTGGTCTGTCATGCATGCGGTAAAAAGTGAATGATTTTACTACTACCAAACATGTAAGTACCGAATGTAAGAAGAAGAGTGCCTTAGATATATTTTATTAGAAGGGTTAAGGGAAAAAAAAACAAGTGCAAAAAACGCACGACACAAAAAGACACAGAAAAACACAAAAAGACACAGAAAGACAGATAACTAAATATCATGAAAATTTTGAAAAGTAGATTAGAATATTGACAATTTGTCTAAAGTTACTCAGACAAATATTAAAAAGAAAAGATGTAACAACAATCCTGTCAATATGGTATGATCCAATGGCTAACAAAGATCAGCAGTTCAAGTTATGAACTAGCAGTAGAACAGAGTAAAAAGTGAGGCTTGAGAATGAGATAAATTGGGAGAGATTGAAGTAAATCATACAAACAAAAAGGAATGAAGAATATTCAGAGCACCTGGTTGTTTGGTAGACTCTTGCATTCAAGTTCTAGTTTATATCGCTGAAGGAGAAACATAATGATGTAATTATTTATCATTTTCAAGCAATAACATTTATTTGAGATTCAAATTACTTATGTCAACATACAACCTAAACTAGATAGAATCAAATATTCAAGGTAAAAACATTTGATTGAGATTCAAATCACTTCACAAGCAAGATCGAATTGGTAAAAACATTTGATTAAGATTCAAATCACTTCACAAGCAAGATCGATTATGTCAAGCCTAAATGATTCCAAACATGCAGATTATGTCGGATGGTTGATGGTACAAGAAACAAACATAATCTACAAATGTAAATCTAAATTATATCACAGCATAATAAGTGCCCTTTAACACATGTAAATCTACAATGGCAACACTTTTAACATGCAAACAAACAAAGTGGAATCAGATTCATGCTTACTGTGCTATGAAGCAAGAACATACATATCATATTACAGCCATTAAAACACTAAGAAAATCAAGAATCGTTCCACTCCATCTACTTTATGTTTCTAATTTCAAAAGGTTAAGCTGTAATTTGGAATTCATACCTGTATATGAACCGCTTCCACCCTGCTTCTACCTTGATCAAAATCCAAAAGCTTAGCAGTACAACGAAGGAGAAAGATAGCAGCCATTAAAACTCTTCTCTTTCTTCAAGATCGTACCAAAATCTCTTGCTTGGCTTGTAAGGAAAAAACAACAGGCAAACTGAAGACAAAATGAAAGAAACAATATTGATCAAAGAGAAGCCATTACAAGATGTCTGAGGTACCATAAACCATATTATGGGTATTGATTGCCTGTGAAAAATATACACCATAGGTTATCTGTCTTTATTTTAAATACAAAAATATCTTCTTCACGCAAACAGAAAGCTTCAGATTTCTCAAATTGTTTACTGCTAAAGTCTTTTCTGAGAGAATGCGCCGATGATAGATATAGCGAGCAATGGCAGATTCTTGGACGTTTAGGACTGACTTGGAGTAGAATGATGAGCAACGCCAATGGAAACCTCTGATCTATAGCTAGGTATGCAAAGCCATGAACAAGTTCTGCTTACGAGCATGCTCTGGGATAAGTCGATTCACGGTATCCGGTGGTATACCAGCAAGCTCTGCCATACAAAATAAACCCGAACCTTAGCATGAGAGGCGTGCATGAAAGTAGATGAAGTGTAACTTGAATAGAAACCATGTCTGATGACAGAAATAAATTCATCAAGATGTCAGAGATCCGTAATGGACTGGTTACAGAAATTTCATGCATTAAAACTAGACAAAAAACGCAACAGAATACTGCAAAATAGGTCTCGAGATATAACTTCACTCCTCAAAATGGCCAACTTAGGGTAAACTTAAGGCAATAGTTAAAGGGGAAAACTTACCCTGAGGCTTAAAATTAAATAATGGAGGAAGTGGGCGGCCATTAGGAAGGCGTGTATTTGGGTCTCTTAACTCATCAAAGAAGGGGTGGACACAAGCTTCCAACTGAAGTAAACCACATAATATTACGAGAAATGAATAATACCTTACTCCCGAGAAAAGTTTAAAA